TTTTTCNTTTTTTTTTTTTTTCTCTTTTCTTTCTTTTAAATCCGTAGCAATTTTATTGGTGCATCACGCGCCAGCCACTTTCCATAATGAAGGCATATTCACTAGTGAGGAGTATACGTGGATTTTCTTTTTGTCGCTTAATTAAGTCATTATCTAATAACATAGGTACCTTACGACTTATGCATTATCACCTAGCCTCCAGTTATTATTCTTTTTTTTATATTCCACGGTTCCCAATTTACACGAGAACCAACAAAACGGCACACGTTTCAAGTGTGATCAATTTTCCAAAAAAAATGTTCGTTCTTACGTATATACGTGTGCACTATGTGTGTGTGTGTACATATACGCGTGTGCAACAGCACGAAGAGAGCGCGTTGTATCCTCTCCGTCGTGTGCTCTCAATCTTTTGAATTTTCCTTCTTCTTCTTCTTCTTCTTCTTTTTTTCTTCGTTTGCTACTTCATTGTCGCCTCGTTCTTCCTTTATCTCGAGGTGCGTTATATCGTTAAATGCCCAACTGACCAGCTACAGTGAGCTACAATTATTTACAAATCTTGTTAAGTTTTAAACATTTCTACAGTGTTATCTGTATTTTTCCTTTTTTTCTCTCTGTTTAATAGGAAACATTAATTTTCGCTCGATCTCACTCATTCCAATTTTTTTTTTTTTTTTCATTCCATTCTACCGCACGCATACACATTTGCCCACTCGTACAAATTTCCCCTTCGTTTCTTTCTTTCGAGATCTCTCCTTTCGTGTCCCTAGGCTTGATTAATTAAATCGCGAATCGGACCGTTGCGAAACTTGGACGAAATCGTGGCGTTTCCTCTTCTCGTTCAGAAAAGGTTACAGCGAATAAGCTCTTCCTTTCTTTCGTTTTCATTCCCCCCTTTTCTTTCGCAATCTGCATCCCTGTTTTATTGTTCGACGAGACAACACGATTCATTGGAAATCAATCGAATGTGGATCGAATCTTCGACGAAATGTGCAAAAAGGCTGTTAAAAGGTTAAAACAAAGTCGAAGCGTAAAAGTTGGCTAATAATAAAATGTGGAGAACCTTTTTCACAATGTGCATTGCTGTTGTGAGAATCATGAATTAAAAAAAAAAAAAGAAGGTTATTTCTACTTTAAAAAGTTGAGATTTAGATTCACACAGTGAAAACGATTCGATATAAAGATATGGTTTTTTTCAATCGAACGATATAACCTGTTAACGGGTTATTCTTTCACCGAATATATTCTTCTAATATAACGAAATTAAAAATTGTTCTAGGAGAATTATTCATTTCAGTTGGATCGATTTTAATATTTAGAAATATATAAAAATGGAGTAATTTAATCTTAATGGAAATTATAACGATATTAATTGTAAGAAGTAAAGAAATTTAAGTGTTCGCGTTAAAAACAATCCTCGTTCACAAGTTCCATTCTTCATTCCGATTAGACAGAGTAGTTCTTCAGCAATACAATTAAAGATATAATATTTACAATATATGCAAATATACAATATATGCAATATATATGTAAATATATATATATAATACTATGTAATAATGTACATTTTATTAATTTTATTGAAGAAAAACTAACGATAATGTAAATATTTTTCTCTTTGGAAAAATAAGAAAATCGGAGAAAGGGTTGTTCTTGTCGCGAACTCTTCGATTCTAAAAAAAAAGAAGAAAAACAAAATAGCAATCCAAGCGACTAATTCTACTCGTTTCACCCCAATTAAAAGGTTATAATCATCAGTCTCGACGAAGCATAAAATTACAGAATACAAGCGGAAAAATATCGAAGAGGAAACAGCCAAGTATCCGTCCAAGTATCCGTGATACGAGGGCTCTGTTCAATTTTCATTGTTTCTAATTAAGGCGACAGCGTTTCGTGCTTTGTGGATCGATACACACAATAATTTCATTTTCGTTCGATCGACGAAATATTATTTTTACGCAGCTTATCGATCGCCTGTGATTAGACACAATGAAAATTTCGATCAATCCTTATTATTATTAATATTATTATTATTTTATCCGACGCTGTCTGCGTTTGCTTCGGTGCTAGTGATTCGATTCATGAGCTATTTTGCGTATTATATTTATGTATGTACACGGTATGAGCGCGATGACGTATTTACAAATGACGAGGAGAAACGCTTCAGCTAGCCGAAACGGGTAAGACCGGCACTGTTTTTCAAATTGTACAAAAAAAAAGAAAGAAAGAAAGAAGACAATGGAATCGAAGAAAGGGTGGTACCACGTCGCAACGTTCGTTTTTTTTTTTTTCTTTTTCTTTAACTAATGGAACATTTAGCACGCGCCTGACAAATCGCAATCGCGAAGATTTAGAAACTATATATAGTTTATATAATCTCGATCGGATCGAGCGAAGTATCTTCTCTGCGAAGATGACGATCGAAAACACACCTTTGCTCTTGATACTCGAATATAATAAGAACGATTTATTCGAAAATGAACGCCTTGTTTCACTCGTGTCGTCTCTCGGCAGAGAAGAGGCTCCTCCTTGTGTTCTCAAAATCCATTCTTTTTTTCTCTCTCTCTCTCTTAATTCTCTTCCTCTAAAAATCGATCGCTATAATCTCTTCTTTCCTTCGTTTATTACGCCCTTTTGTTCGCCTCGATACAATCGCCAAGAATGCTTAATATAAAAAAAAAAAAAAAAAAAA